CCACAGACGGCGCCAACTGATGATACAGTTTATCCCAGTCAGTGGAGCGAACTGATCCAAGCCCCTCAAGCCCAAGTCCAGATGATCAAGCCCACCGGATAACCTGCAAACAAGTTCCACGGGGAACGGGGTAGTCCCCCAGGGAACCCTCCGACAAGTAAGTTAGGAAGAGAAGTAGAGTATAGAGGGAGAGATTAGAGATAGAAAGCTTAACTTTCTTCTTATCTTCAATGTTTGCTTATATCCTTTGGTAATCATTTTGCTGTCCTTTCCCACCTGCCCTCCTCGCCGAAAGTCTATGCTGTAGCTTACCTTGTTCAAGGTAAGGGCGTCCTGTTCCGACGGGGAGGTGTTGTCGTAATAAATGCTGTGATGGGCTGCATTAATGGTGATGTGCAGTGACAATAACTTTGCAGATCTTTGTCTGCTGATGTGGCTCGTCCTTCACCTGCCACGTGTCTGAATGCCACCAGCTGGGTTATGTATTGGGCTCCAAGTGATGGGCTTGGGTTGTCTATAATGATTCATGGCCTTTGTGGACTTGTACATGTCAGGTTGGATTGTGTTGAGTTGGGTTTAGGACTATTTTAGTTATAAAAGGATAAAATAAGTTTTTTAACCTAATAAGACAAAACATCACATTTAACCCATAATCATTGCATTCTTTCTCTCACAAAAAATCAAAAAAGTCAAAAAGCTCTTCCCAAATAAGACTTTTTAGCTCTAGGCTAAAATAGTTAAAAAGTAAAAAAAAAATGGATTGGCTTTTTGACTATTTTAACCTGGGGCTAAAAAACTTAGTTTCAGAAAGATTTTTTTGGTTTTTTTTTTGACGTTTTATGAGAAAAAGAATGTAATGATTATAGGTTGGATATGATGTTTTGTCTTATCGAGCTAAAAAACATATTTTACTTTTTTTTTATGGCTATTTTAGCCAAAAAACCCAAAAACCTGCTATGCCAAACGAAGGCTAAAGTCATCCCAGGACATCTCCCAGGATGATTGGCCGGACAACCGATATGTCTACTAGGAAGAAGATGAGCAGCATTTTAAACAATATTGTTGTGCTATCAATTTTAGTTGTAGGTAAAATCTGGCACAAGAGATAATAATTGCTATTTTTAGCAACTTGAATGGTAGACCATTAGAATATCATATTTTCCCATACCCTGTTATGTTTTGCCTTTAGCAGCCCTCTTAGTAAACCGTTGGAGATGATATAAGAGATGAATGTAATTTCCTGAACTAAAATGGTCAATTTGTTTATTCAATTTGTATTTTAAACAAATTTTACAGGAGTGATTCTAGTAACCTAAAAAAAAAAATGTGATTCTCATTACACTTATTATATTACTAAAACTAATCTTAAAGTAAGACTCTTCAAAACCCTTTCATATATTTACACCAATAGTTTTTTGAGGGAAAATAATGGAGCAGAGAAAAATGCAATAAGGGAAAAAAGAAAGACATAGGAAAGATAGTAAGTAGAGCCTACATCGAAGTGCCTGTTCGGTCATACAGTGCTAAACAATTTACATTCCTCCGGTGTTTTGTTGCCGAAAAAAATAAACTTCTCCAACGTTTTTTTGCTATACATTTACAGAACCACTTTATTCCAAACAATGATTTTTAAATTTGTGCCGGGCCTGTTCGGTAATACAATACTAATGAATTTGAATTAATCTAGTGCGATATTTTTTTCCCATAAATATGTTGTTGTTCGATTGAATATTAACAAGAAATCAATTGGGGCCATTTGTGAAGTGCCTGTTCGGTGATACATTGATATACAAATTAGATTACTTTAGTGTCATGTTGCTCAACTATAATAAATTTGTCTAACTACCTATCGTTGTACGTTGAAAGATTTAGGTTGTGTTTGGTTAGACTTTCAAAGTGTGATTTCACCATTTGGTTTCAGTATGGTGTTTGTTTGCAGTTTTCAAAAATTGATTCCACACTCATTTTTCAAAACACGTTTACCTGGTCATCCTTCCGTCCACCCGGATGTTAGGCCAGTTGACCGGAACAGTGTTCGTTTATTTTATTTTATTTGCACCTGTTATTTTTATATTTCAAATAAAAAATATTTTGGGATTCTTTTAAATTTTTTTAATGAATTTTGAATAGAATTTTGGGTTGTATGTTTGGTTATGAGTTGTAAATTTTTGAATCAAATATCATATGTCACATCACTTAATTTAAACTCAATTAGAAACTCTTTTCAAAATTATAACCAAACAAATTTTCCACACTCAAATCATAATTCCAAAACTCACAAACTCAAAATACAACTCTATTATTAAATCATAATTCTAAAACTCTACCAAACGCAACCCTACTTTTTCCTTCAAGCATCCATAGAAAACATCCATAAATCAAACAGACATTCATAAAATTATACATAAAAAGTATCCATAAAAATATTCATAAAAATATCAAATGTACGAACATCCATAAAAGTATACATAAAATCTGTCATTGTTTATATCCATCAACCAAACATGTTATCACAATTCGTCTATATCGATAGTTTTGGTAGTTACTACATCAGGGCTGATAAGCGTACATAATTAATAAATACGGATAGTATATGCTTTCTCCCATCCACTAACACACGAGTGATGAAAATGAATCTAATTATTTGCCATCTAATGTATTTATAACAATCACAAATCTAGCATTCTTCTCAATGTCAAAAACTCATTTAATTAATGTTTGACGACTACTAAAAATTCAAAGATAATAAATGTATTTATACGTCAAATTATTAAGGCCTTGTTTGGTGTGTCCTAAAAAAGTCAAAAAGTCACAATCCTATTTAAGTCATATCATTTTATTTAAGTCACATCACTTTTCTACTACATCACTTCAAATCCAATCTATATTTTATAAAAAGTCAAAAAGTACATTTTTTAGAACATCCCAAACAACCCCTAATAAAGCTCAATACAATTAAAAATAATAAAAAAAATTGATTTTATAAAAAAAAAAACTTAACAACCCTTGTCTATAATGAATTCATAACTGGAGTCCACTAATAATGCAGTACTTGCATTATTACAATGAGTAGAAATATAATCCTTTCAAGTAAACAAATAAAAATATAAAAAAAATTAAAATTAGAAATACATGGTGATTAGTAGTCAAACAAATTAAAAACATTCGGCTTTGAGTTATCGAAACTGTATTTTTTATTCGGCAGTTGGTTACTAGACATATATTTTTTGTTCGGCAATATGATGCCGGATTATTTTATTTTGTTCGATTTTAAAATACCGAACAAAAGTAGAAGAACAGTCAGAAAAACAAAACAAAAACCTATCAAACAAATAAAAAACTAATCATTTTACTTTTTTTTTATGGTTCTTTATCATTGTTTTTTTATCAATTTATTTCTTTTATGATCAAAACAAGGCCTTGTTTGGTTTAACTCTTAAAACATAATTTTTTTAAAAAACATTTCAAAATTTTGTCTGGTTGGAAATTTTTTTATTTTTTTTTTCAAAATCACTTTCTCTCTCCTACGTATCAATCAATCACTTTTTCTCTCACACACATTTACTCAATTATAATAAAATATCAAATCATTCTAAACTCCCATACTCTAAAATTATTTTTAAAATATACATCTAAACAAACCAAAAAAATTTCTAAATTCTTTCCTCATTTTTTTTTTTAAAATTTATCTCTCAAAATTAAACCAAACACACCTTATGATTCTCATTTTTTGAAAAGAATAAGAGAGAAGAAAAATTGAAAAAAAGAAGAAGAGGAGTAGGGATTAAACACTAAAGAATGTAAGGAGATAATAAAATTTATCCTTAAAAGTAATAACTATGCTTGGTTGAATGTAAGGAGATAATAAAATTTATCCTTAAAAGTAATAACTATGCTTGGTTTTATTTTTTCAAAAACAGTTTTCAGAGAATTTTACTTTCTTATTTGCCGTGTTTTTTTGTTTTTACTAATTTTTTTAATATTTTAGGATTTTTTTTTTTACTTTTTAGACATGCCTAACATAATTATACCTAAAAAGTAAAAAATTTGTGAAAAAAAACCTTTTAAAAATTCACTAAATACTAAAAATACAAAAAAAAAAATTATGTACATTTTTTGTATTTTTATGCATTTATTAATTTTTTAAAATATTTTTTTACAAATTTTTTACTTTTTAGATACATCTAAGTAAGGTGCATCTAAAAAAGTAAAAAAAAATGTTTAAAATGTTAAAAATATTCACTAACAACAAAAAAAATACGAAAATCAAAAAACTTAATTTTTAAAAAACTTAGGCCTTGTTTGGTTTGTATTTCGGAAAAAATTTTAGGAAAAATTCTCTACAAATAAGTTTTCAAAGTTAATCAAACCAAACAAATTTTTCTAAATTTTTTTTTCCAAAACTTGTCTGGTTTACAAATTTTTCAAATAAATCTCTCTCTTATACACATTAAATCAATCATTTTTTTTAAAATCTCTCTCAAAATAATTTTTCAAAACATCTTTTATCTCAAAACATCTAAAAACATCAAACCAAATAAATTTTCATACTTTTTATCTCAAAACATATTTCTCAAATACAAACTAAACAAAATTTTAATTCAAAAAACTCAAATTAAACACACTGAATTATCCACTGAATAAAATTGTAAAAAAAATCTCATATAAAGGTACAGGGAGGTAAAGTAGTAAGGAGGATCACTCTTGTACAGGTGAATTTATAAATTATTAATAAAAAATCTCATATAAAGGTTCAAGGTGGTAAGGAGGATCACTCTTGTACAGGTGTATCTATAAATTATTAAATAAAAAAAAAAATGAAGATGAACACAGAGAGAGAGAGAGAGAGAGAGAAAAGAAGAAAAAAAAAAGGTAACATCATCACATTTCTGTAATAGAGGCGGAGAGAGCGAGAGAAAGAGTGAGAGAAGAGAAAGAACAACACGTAAAGTGAAAAAATCACACCATTGCCCAAGAGAGAAAGAGAGAGAGAGAGAGAGGGCGATCTCAACGGCACCGGAATAGTACTAATTGACAGAGAAATATGGGGACGCTACAGACTTGGCGAAAAGCCTACGGCGCTCTCAAAGACCACACCAAAGTCGGCCTCGCCCAAATCAATAGCGATTTCAAGGTCCCTCTCTCTCTCTCTCTCTCTCTATCCGTATAACACATATTAATTAGTACATATATTGAATTCCTGATGGCGTTATATAATTAGGATGTTGATGTTGCGATCGTTAAAGCTACCAACCATGTTGAGTGTCCACCCAAAGAGAGACACATCAGGAGTGAGTTTTTATTTTTATTTTTGGACTAGCAGATCAAATATTCTATTTTTGGGTTTGGGGTTTCCTAATATTTGTGCAAGTATGTGAATTTTTGGTTTTTTTGGGTTAATTGTTTCAGAAATTTTTGCTGCCACATCAGCAATTCGGCCTCGGGCCGACGTTGCATATTGCATTCATGCGCTTGCCAGACGATTGGCTAAGACGCATAATTGGACGGTATGGATTTTCGCCTTTTTGAGTTCAATTTTGATTCCAGAGTTTATATATTTTGCCCCAATTTGATAGATTTTATGTGGGTTTTGTTCATATGTTTGGAAATGGATTGTGGTTACTCATCACTGTTATTTTTTCTGTAATTACTTAAAAACAATAAATTTCACACCTTTTAACAACAATTTGGCCCTTTTGAAGCTTTGGTTGGTGTTCACGTTGGGAGCATCCCAACAGAGAAACTTTAACTTAACAAATTCAAAAAATAGGACTAGCACAACAAAGACATGACAATGTTCTTGTACATTAATTTCTTAAGTACGCAAGGACATGGAAATATTGAAAAAAAAACCTAGTAGACACTAAGACCCAAGTCTTTTCCATTTTTAGGTGGAGCTGCAATGGCAGTTAGGTCTAGAGGGAAGTTATGAGCGTTACCTTCATGCATAACTTTACATTTGTTAAGTTGTTGATGATGGTTTCTGTTGGGCCTTCTTGGGGGTTTATGGTCCTAAAGGCATCTTGGGATTGTGCTTGGTGTTTGGGAGGGGACTTCAATGGTGTAAGGTTTTCCTCGTGAGAGAGTGGGGTGCGAATCATGAAGCAAGGCTACGACGGATTTCTCAACTTTTATCGCTCAAGAGACTTTGGAGTATATTTTCTTTTGGTTGGTGGTAGCTTTACATGGCACAATAGTTGTTCTACGTCTAGATTAGATTTTTCCTTGTTTACCTGGAGTGGGAGGACAACTATCTAAATATGAGTCAATCATGACTTCCTAGACTTACATCAGATCATGTGCCATTATTTTGGATTGTGGCAACTTGTGGGGGTCCAAGTCCCTCTTGCTTTAAGAATATGTGGCTCAGGAAGGAAGAATTTGTCGGTATGGTGAAGGATCAGTGGCAGGGATATAGGGTGGAAGGTCCCCAAGTTATGGGTTGATTGACATTCTCAGGCCTGGCTTAAGGGTTAGGCCACCAATGCTAATGTTTTAGGCCATTTATGTTACTGAGGCCCTAAATTTTCAAAAATTATAGTTAAAGCCTATATATAGTTTTATCATTCTTTAATTTAAAACAGGCTTCACCCATTAAAAAAAAAAACCTTAAAATTGTTATTTCAAATGAGTAATGCTACATAAATATTTTTTTTTACTAGTTTCTTTTACTAACCTGAAATAAATCTCTAATATGAGTAATGATGTACAAACTAACAAATTTTACAAACGTTTCTTACTCTTTGATGTGACATTTTCTTATAAATTGATGAAAAATTTGATAATGAAACAATACAACTTTTCAAGAATTTTTAGAATTAATTGAAGTATTAAACTTTGTAAAAAAAAAAAAATTTAGTCATTTTCAAATGCATGTATTGTTGACAAAATGACATGAAAGAGATTAAGTGGATAAACTATACTATTAATTCAAAAAAATATATTAACGAAATTTGATATGAAAATTTAATTGGTAATTACGTATGTCAAAATCCTAGAAAAATAACTTCTAAATAATATTTTTATAATAACATTAAAAAATTGTAAAAAGGCTCTTTTTAACTTGTTGCTTTAGGCCTTAATTTTTCTTGAGCTGGCCCTAGGCATTCTTTTAGAACAATGAAGTTTTTGCTAGGCTTTTAATAGAATCTAATATGCATATTCACCAATGGAATGTATGTATTACAATATTATGATTGATCTCTTTGTTTAGATTGTTTTTGGATTTGTTTTATATATATATATTTTGTTTTTTTTTTTTTGGGGGGGGGGGGGGTGGCAATAATGATCTGCTATCTTAATCATGGCATTCTTGATTTGCAAAATTTTGAATTTGTTAGCATATCCCAATCTCATTTGTCTTTTGATGGAGCTTACGTAGCTTGTAGACTAATGGCAAGAAGTCTTCATTTTATGAAAGCCGTAATTTCTTAACTATCTCTTTGCTTGTGTACTTGGGTTGCTCTTCATCTGGCTATTATTATAATAACAATGGAACTTCATCTGACCATAGATTTTCAGTTTCATAGATGCAATGCAATCTTCGTCTCTTTTTCCAAATGAATTTGGTTATTTGCTGAAACTTTCAAGACTATATATTCACTAAGAAATCTAGCAGGATTAAGGTGATCATTGAAATTGGGACATTGATCCCAGGGCTGCGACTCCCATTGAGTTGGAGGTCAGACTCAACACGAGCAATGCAATTCTCTGTTTGAACCCAATCTGACCAGACTTAGCTCAGCCCATACTCAATTAATTCAATGATCTTGAGTTGAGCTCAGGTTGTCTGGACTACTCAGGTTTGGAAAGCTTGGTATGGGTTCCCTAAGTGGAGCACATGTTAAAATGTCTCCATGAAGGATGGGGAATCAGTGGATCCCTTTCCATTCACCACCTGGTATCTGGGGACCTTTGAACCTCAATCCTTTCTTGTTTTAGTATGGTTTGGGTGTTTCCGGCAGGTGTGATGGAGTTTCTACATTGCTGGCAGGGAGCGAAGGTGGCAAAGAGGCGGAGGAAGATTTGGACACTTTGCCTAGTGTGGCTCATTTGACGGGAAAGGAACCACGGACATTTCAATGCCGTAGGGAGTCCTTTGTACAGATTAAAGAGCTCTTTTGTTAGTCTATTGTATAAACAGCAGTCAAGGACTAATCATTCTTTAGACCAATTCATAGATTTTGTAGAGTTTTTTGTTGATGCGTATAGGGCATTTTTGTTATAGTGGCTTGACTTTATATATGGGTGGTATTCCTTTAATGTCTTCATTTAATAAAATTTATTATTTATTAAAAAAAAATCTCCATGAAGTAAAAACATGAAAAATACTCACCTTACAAATCATACGCTAGAATTGAAAATAAGATAATAAATCTAAATTCTAGAACTTGAAGTGGTTAATGCACCAAGATTGAACCAAGGGGTTGGAGTCTGTGTGGCTAGATACGTTACACATATTCTTTGAAATTTGGGAGGTACTCGTGTTGACATGGCATGATACGGGTACGAGTGTGGGATATAGCCGGGATACGACTCTTTACAAATGGATATGGCTCTATTTTGCCGTAAATGAAAAAGAAATGAAAGAGAGAGCAAGGAGAGAACCTGGTCTCTGGCTTTGATCCTTTGTTTGACGATTTCGATCTCGTGCCCTTTGACTTCGACGAGTGTGGCCCCTCCGACTTCGTCTTCGTTGAGCACCACCGTAGACGATCTATTTTCGATGAGCTTGTCGATTTATCTTCTCTCTCTCTCTCTCTCTCGAGATCTTTGTTTCTATCTCTTCTCTCTGTCAATCTGTTTTCTTTTTTATTTGGTGAATATCAATCTGTTCTCTCTCTCTCTCTCTCTATCTCTCTCTCAAAAGAAATTTAATTAAATCATATATAATAAAAACAATCTAATAAAATCTATAAAACAAATCATCCATTTTTTATTTATTTTAACATAATTTGTTATTCTTTATTTGTTATACTTTTTTATTTATAATATATATGTCAATTAAAAATAAAAAAATTATATAGATAAATTAAAAATATTATCAATAAAAATAATACATAAGATAAAAAATAAAAAATATATTTAAAAAATAACTATTTAACTCATCTTTATAAAACAAATATATTTAAAAATTAACTATTTAACGTATCCCCGTACACGTATCTAAATTTGGATCTATATCCATGTATCCCAATTTTTAGTTTTGAAGTGTGTGACCCCTAGATACGCACCCACATCTGATATCCGCACCCGAGTCCATGTGACATAGGTGGCTAGCCCTTTGGCAACCAAGTCTCTCCTAAGGAGAAGTTTTGGGTTCTACTGTTAGGAGTGGAATGAGAGGCAAGATTTAGTGCTTGCAAGGAGAGGGTTTGTGAGTTGAACTCTCCCTAGGCGCTAATCTAACAACTAATTACTAACTTTTGCCAATCAAAAGAAAAAAAGAAAAGAAAAGCATCAAGATTGCAATATATAGTTATCAAATTGAGCACTTATTTTTTCAATTTAAATGACAGAATCAAATAATGAAAATTATTACAAAAACTGGGTAAAATCTTTGCATTGAAAATTTTATACTTGGAGCTGGAAATTTTGATGCTCATATTTTTTGAGGGGGTTTTAAATTCTTCTTTATCCCTGTAGCTTTGGATTGCTCTGCCTGGGCATGTCACTGCCCTAGGGATTTTAATTTGAGTCAATTTTAAGGCAAAGCACCATAATTTTCTTATTTCATTTGGTAATATTACTCTGAAAAAAATTGAATCCTTGAAAATCTATGTTGTGATCTTTTCTTCATAAACTCTTCAATAGCTACTGAAGCTACATACAATTTGAGACAGTAACAATTGATGGTTACATCTTAGGCAAAAGTCTAGTTCATAATTATCCTGTGCATGCTCATAGCTATAAATATATTTCTTTTTTGATGAACAGGTGGCATTAAAGACATTGATAGTTGTTCATAGGACATTGAGGGAGGGGGATCCTACTTTTAGAGAAGAGTTTCTGAATTTCCAACAAAGAGGACGGATTCTACAATTGTCTAATTTCAAAGATGATTCAAGCCCTATCGGTTAATTTTAGCACTCTATACTTTTTCTAGTTTACTCCAATCATCACTGACATTTGTCCTGCTGACATGAGTTATTTTATTAATTTTCTACCTGTAGCTTGGGATTGCTCTGCTTGGGTACGTACATATGCACTGTTCTTGGAAGAACGACTTGAATGCTTTAGGATTCTGAGGTATGATATTGAAGCTGAGCGTTTACTTAAACCTGGCCAAGGGCAGGAGAAGGTATGCACCAAATGAATTATTACAGTTCTACTGGGGGAACCGGGAGGTTTAAATGGAAGACGGCACTTACAATGTCTGAATTATAATTTAGATGGATATGATAAAATAATAAGATTATAAAACACTTGAATTATTTATATTGCAATATTTTGGGTGTCTTCAGTTTTAAGTTTTAACCAGTTTAGTTCTGTGACAGTTTCTTTGTTATTTCTCTTTACTGATAGGGCTACAGCAGAACTAGGGAGGTGGATAGTGAAGAACTGTTGGAGCAGTTGCCTGCTTTGCAGCAGCTGCTATATCGTCTCGTTGGATGCCGGGTACTCTTCTGAAACCTCAGTCTCAGATGATTATATATAAGTTTCTATTTTTTAGATGATCTCTATCTGGGGATTCAGACTGTAGTAAAACATGTGAATGAAAATAAATGTTGTATTTTACTTTACAGCCTGAAGGAGCAGCAGTTAGCAATTACATAATACAATATGCTTTGGCTCTGGTATGTATGTTTTTATTTATTTCGTTTTATTTTATTTTGTGCTTCATACTCATGTTGAAAAGGAAATATGAATTGACTTGTCAAGTAGAGAATTAAGATGGTTTTCTGGGTTATCTAAATTGACATGCAGTTTAAATAAATTAAGCAATTGGAAACCTCTGAATTGTTGAACCAAGGGGGTTCTTCCACCTGTCCAGAGGTGAGTTGTTCACCACGGTTCTACCCTCGTAGGCCTTCCCCATGCACACAAGCACAAGATTAGCATGAATTTGTCTATAATTGTGTTGATTCTGAGAATATCAAGAATATAGAATACAAAGAAAAGAAACTCCCTCTTTGAAATTTTATTAAACTTCAAAACTCTGATTAGTGCTAAGGCTTAAAAGGCTATATATAATAGAAGAAATCCTAATCCTTGCCTAAGGATTGGAATAAAAAAAAAGTAAAAATTATTGGCGAATAAGAGCTAGTCCTAAATTTGACTAAATTTTTAGGCCTGACAAAAAGCCTTGAATAAAGTCAAAGTTAGAAGTTCACCAAAAATTGTAAAAATAATGTTCTTTAAGTAACTATGCTCCTGTATTAGTAATGAAATCACGCCTTCCCTCTTCGACTACTGCCTCTCCCCGCTTCCCAAGGGTAGGAGGGATAAAGAAATTGCCGTGTAATTAATATGGGATTTAATCTGATTATTACCTATGAAGTACTGACACTTCCAACTTAGTTTTCATACTCATATCAAACACTTGTTGGACATTGATAAGCCTTGGACGTGCTGGGATTCATACCTGTTTTGTAATATTTTTACTTCGCCTGGATGCTTTAGTTACATATTATAGACACGCATGTCCTGCCATTGGATTGGCCCCAAGACATGATTATCTTGTCATGAGCTGTAAAAATAGTCTTTTAAATTCATAATCATGAGTGTGTAAACATGTCTGTGTTAATCATCATTATGTAGACTCTTATTCTTTAAACAATACAAATAAGTGCATTCCCTTAATTTTTTAATTAGTGTTTGATTGTTGAAATTGTTAATATAATATATATATATATTTACTTGTAATGGTTATAGGAAAACTAATCTTCTTCTATTTGTGCTTGTAGTAACATCTATGATATAATGGTTTATGATTGATGAAATAGTATTTTCTATCTTAAAGTTCAAATTCTAGATTGAGTGGTTTTTTTATGTTGAATTAGTATTAGTTTTCATTTTTTAAGTTATCTGTGGATGTGGATTAATATTCTTCATATACATAGCAAATAGAAATATATACAAAATTATTTTTTGCTATACCACGCCATGTATATATCCTGATTTTTTGAAATTGCTGTGTTACGTGTCCGTATTTGTGTTTGTATGTATCTATGCTTCTTTGATAACAACTTATGCTTGACCTCGTCAATATATGTAATTTTCAGGTGCTCAAAGAGAGTTTTAAGATTTATTGTGCAATTAATGATGGAATCATCAATCTGGTTGATAAGGTGAATTGCCTTTATTTTCTTGCAATATTTCTAACTTTAACATGGTATTAGGTGGAGCTTTTTGCTTGCTTAGGCCTCGTTTGGGAACCAGCCAATTTAGCCAAAAAGCTAAAAAGTTACTAAAAAAGCCAAAAAGCCAACAACCCATACCAAAAAGTCAAAAATTCTCTTTTCTCTATACTTTTTGCACATCTTTTCGTAAAAAGTCAAAAAGCCATCCCAAACATGCTAGTTTTTTTTAGCTCATATTACTAAAAAATTAGCCAAATAGCCAAAAAATTACTAAATTAGCCTGTTCCCAAACGAGGCCTTAGCCTTTATGCTTTAGTTTTTTTATTTTTTATTTGTGTTTTTCAGTTTTTTGAGATGCCAAGACATGAAGCAATGAAAGCCTTAGATATATATAAACGAGCTGGCCAGCAGGTGATATTTGCATTGATTTTTGTTTGAATCATCACTTTTCAAAACTATTTTGTTAAATTAAAATGGGATGGATCTGAAGTTTAGACTCTGGACTTGGTTTTAATCATTCAGATTCAAGTTCTAGTAGTTAAAAAGTTGGTGTTTACTGCAGGCTGGAAGCCTTTCTGATTTTTATGATATTTGCAAAGGTTTGGAACTTGCTAGAAATTTCCAGTTTCCTGCTCTAAAAGAGGTATGCTTTGGCCGAAATCCAATGTTTAGTTGGTTATATTGGTTTTTTAATGCAATTGTTTTCACTGGACATTTTGTTCATCTTTTGCAGCCTCCACAGTCCTTTCTTGCAACCATGGAAGAATATATAAGAGAGGCACCACGGATGGTTTCCTCACCAAGAGAGACATTGGTCAGTATGATTATATTGTTTGCAACATCAATTTTTATTGCACGACGTAATTTCTAACTTGGATTTCGGACTTCTAGCTATTTTGCTGCCACATTGATTGTTTTTTGTGATTTGTATCTGTTTAACTTTATCATTCCTTGCCAATTCAAATATGTTTTTACGAATTGTGTGTTGTGGGACTAACATGTGGTCATTATGAATCAGGAATATCCAGGAATGCTTCAATTGACATATAAACCAGAAGAAAATTCTTCTCCATCGCAAGATACAAATGTATCTGTTAATGAACCTCAGCCACTGCCTACAGATAATGTTACTGTCTCAAATTTTGAGGTTCCTTCCCCTCCTACTCCTCCAAACAACTTGGATACTGGAGATCTGCTGGTAAAATTCTCAACTCTTATTTTTGTTTTGTCACTTGATATTATTCTTCCCTATGAAGCATGGATATGAATATGGGATACGGAATTAGCGACACTGCAAAATCTGAAGAGATAGGATATGGGTATAGTCAAGATACTTCGAAAATATATATATATATATAATTTTTAATATTATAATAGTGAGAAACCATTCTTCTAGAATTAGACACTAGTTTAAGAGTCAATAGTTTGTTTACTTTCTTTTTAGTGGATATTTTAATTTGATAAAATCTGAAAAATTAATTTACTACTTTAATCTCACTATTTTTTTCTTTGGCTATACATAATTTTTTTTTTTATTTATTTATAAAAAAGCTAATTTTGTATTTATTATACTCTAATGCTGTTCAAAAATCATTGCAATCTCAATTTGTAATAGTTTGGATATGCGATGTTTGAAAAGTATCCGATACTTTTCAAAATTGGCATCATGTATTTGATACGTTTAGAAAGTGATGCAGGACGATTAGGGACAGCCACAACAGTAGGCGTTGGGGCTGATTTTACACTGTTTTAGGGTGCTGTGAATAGGCTACAGCCCATGTAGGCAAATATAAAATTAACAAAATGCCCTTTGCCTAAAAATCCTAGAAACATAAAAATAATCATAAAATAAAACTATAATAATATTATAAGCATGATTATGTATGGTTCTTATTGCTTTCTCTTTGAAATTGTAGAAATTTAATGTATAAAGAGAAATAGAGAATTGTATTATTGATTGATGTATGTTGTAAATTACAAATGGTGAGGGGCTCCTTATATAGGAGATGTAGTGGAGTAGGTAGTAGTAGGTGGTAGTGGTAGGTGTGTAGTAGGTGGTAATAGGTGATGGTAGGTTTTAACAGCCCCCCGCAAACTCAAGGGGGATAGGAACTAACCAACTTGAGTTTGGAGAGAGTAACAAAACAAGAAAATAGACGAATACACAAAAGAAAAGAGGATAGGAGACACTGTATGGTCGTGTCAGACCGATGGTGAAGACACTGTATGGTGGTGTCATAACGTTGTAGAGGACACTGGATGGTTGTGTCAGACCGATGTAGAAGACAGTTTATGGGGTCATGTCGGACCGTTGTAAAAGACAGT